CTTCAGCTTAGCTTTACTGTTTCTACTAATGCTGCTTTCCTGGGGGCTCCAACTCCTGTTTAGGGTCGCACTGGGATAATTATTGTTCTTTCTTAGCACCTTTGTCCTCCACCCTTTTAATCGTCCTCCGCCTCATTCTGCTCGTCGACCTGAACAGTTTGGTTTCCATTCAACGCTACATGGGCCTTCGCTGCTTCCCACCACGTGCGTGTCTACAGGCTGCCGCCTCTGCCGCCGACCACAAAGATGGCCTTGGGGATTTGTTTGCGTTGTGCTCGGACGGTCTTCTTCGGGCGGCCTTGGAGGCTTCGCGGGCGGTTCTGGAGCGTCGGGAAGGCGAAACAGCAGGAAATCGAAAACCACGCAAGCTAATGTTTTTCACGTCTTTGGTGCGTTCTCCGCCGGGGACCCCTTTTCCTTCTCCATGCAACTAATCTTGCTTGAGCCTGAAGAAAAACCTCCCCTGAGACAGGCGCAGACTTACCGCCGATTCTTCTCGAAGAGGTTTTCGAAGGTTTTTTTGCGTTCGTGGGACTTCAGCGTGGGCCTTTAGTTATTGAGGCTCTGCGGGTTCGCGGCGACGTTGCAGGTCTTATCGGGAGACGCGGCTTTGCCTAGTTTGCCCACGCGTGCCTGTACACGTGTCGTCAGTCAACGTTGTGCAGACATTGTAACACGAGTTCGGGAGTGCATGTTTTGCAGACGCGGTGTTGCCTTGTCTGGTGAGACACACCTATACGAGTGGATCAGATTTTTCTGGGGACACATCGTGACGTAAGCCTACAGATGCAGCGTCTGCAGGCGTGGTTTTCTTCAGCGTGTCCTGGTACAGGTTCATGCGCAGGTCAGCCCACATCGTGTAGACATCGCGACATGAAGCACTACAAATATTCTTGCTGACGTCGATCAGCCCACTGCGCGTAGACATCACCGAATGAGGTTAGGACTGAATCGTTTGCAGACGCGGCTTTCCTTATTTTGTCGTGACACCTGTATGTGTAGATGAGCATGTACATGCGCGCAAGTCGAGTGCGAGTGGGTATAGGCGTGCGTGTGAGTCAACGCTGTTGCGCATACTTCGTCATGAGTTGTTCGAGGGGTTGATGAAGTGGCCAATCGGGGAGGCCGTTATGGCACAGCTGCCGGGGCAGAGCTTCCGTGGGGCGGGGATGCCGAGGCCAGGAGGGGGGCGTCGGTGGGTTCCGGGCGAGAAATTGTGGGGTGGGGGGGCCCAAGAACAGAGTTGCCGTGGGTTGGGGGTGCCGAGGCCAGGAGGGGAGCGTCGGTGGGTTCCGGGCGAGAAATTGTAGGGCGCGGGGTCCCAAGAACAGAGCTGCCGTGGGTTGGGAGTGCCGGGACCAGGAGGGGGGCGTCGGTGAGTTCCAGGTGAAATTGCGGGGTGGGGGGGCCCAAGACCAGAGGTTCCGTGGGGTGGGGGGGGGCGTCGGTGGGCTCCGGGCGAGAAATTGTTGTCTGCGGGGTCCCAAGAACAGAGGTTCCGTGGGGCGGGGATGCCGAGGCCAGGAGGGGGGCGTCGGTGCGTTCTGGGCGAGAAATTGCGGGGGGTGGGGGGGCGTCGGCGGGCTCCGAGCGAGAAATTGTGGGATGGTGGGTCCCAAGAACAGAGGTTCCGTGGGGCGGGGATGCCGAGGCCAGGAGGGGGAGGTCGGCGGGTTCTGGGCGAGAAATTATTGGGTGGGGGGCCCCAAGAACAGAGGTTCCGTGGGGCGGGGATGCCGAGGCCAGAAGGGGGGCGTCGGTGGGTTCTGGGCGAGAAATTGTAGAGCGCGGGGTCACAAGAACAAAAGTTATGCGGGGTGGGGATGCCGAGACCATGAAAGAGCGTCGGTGGGTTCCGGGCGAGAAATTGTGGGGTGGGGGGGCACAAGAACAAAGCTACCGTGGGCCGCGGGTTGGGGGTGCCGAAGCCAGGAGGGGGGCGTCGGTGGGTTCCGGGCGAGAAATTGCGGGGTGGGGGGTGGGGGATCCGGGCGAGACATTGCGGGGGGGGCGCCCCGAGAACAGAGGTTCCGTGAGGTGCGGGAGTGCCGAGGCCAGGAGGGGGGCGTCGGTGTGCTCCAGGCGAGAATTTGTAGGGCGGGGGGGCCCAAGGGCAGAGCTGCCGTGGGTTGGGGGTGTCGAGGCCAGGAGGGGGGAGTCGGTGGGTTTCGGGTGAGAAATTGCGGGGTGGGGGGTCCCAAGAACGGATGTTCCGTGGAATGGAGATGCCGAGGCCTGGAGGGGGGCGTCGGTGGGTTCCGGGCGAGAAATTGCGGGGTGGGGGGTCCTAAGAAAAGAGCTGCGTGCCGTGAGGTGGGGATGCCGAGGCCAGGAAGGGGGGCGTCGGTGGGTTCCGGGGGAATGCCGAGGCCAGGAGGGGGGCGTCGATCGGAGGGTTACGGGCGAGAAATTGCAAGGCTGGGGGTCGCAGGACTAGAGCTGCCGTGTGTTGGGGGTGCCGAGGCCAGGAGGGGCGCCGGTGGGTTCCGGGCAAGAAGCTCAAGGCGGGGAGTCCCAAGAACAGAGGTTCCGCGGGGCGGGGATGCCGAGGCCAGGAGGGGAAATTCCGGGGTGGGGGGTCGCAAGAACAGAGTTGCCGTGTCTTGGGGGTGCCGAGACCAGGAGGGGGGCGTCGGTGGGAACCGGGCGAGACCTTGTGGGAGTGGGGGGCCCCAAGAACAGAGCTGCCGTGGGTTGGTTCCGGGCGAGAAATTGTAGGGTGGGGGGGCCCGAGAACAGAGCTGCCGTGGCGCCGAGGCCAGAAGGGGGGCGTCGGTGGGCTCCAGGTGAGAAATTTCGGGGTGGGGGATCCCAGGAACAGAACTGCCGCGAGGCGAAAGGGGGGCGTCGGTGGGTTCCGGGCGAGAAATTGTGGGGTGGGGGGTCCCAAGAACAGAGTTGCCGTGGGTTGGGGGTGCCGAGGCCAAAACGAGGGCGTCGGTGGGCTCCAGGTGAGAAATTGCGGGGGTGGGGGGTCCCAAGAACAAAGCTGCCGTGGGTTGGGGGGGCCGAGGCTAAGAGGGGGGCGTCGGTGGGTTCTGGAAGGGGGGGGCGGACAAATTTCGAATGAATATTGGCTGGGGCAGATGCACGTTTGTTGCCAAGGTCGTCCGCACACGCCTCTGGGGGTCGGCGGATTTCACCCGTCATCAGTCCAAGCACATATGATCACATTGAGTGGCCAATGCGCCATCTTGCGCGAGGTGATCAGTTCCAGTCCCCCCCTCTTGTGTTCAGCGTGTGTGTAAATATAAGCACATGTGCATATATATATATATATATATATATATATATATGTATGTATATGTGTATGTATATATATATGTGTATATATATACATATATATGTGTATATATGTATATATATACACAAATATAAATATATGTGTGTGTATATCGGAGTAGGCCGGGGGGGGTCGGGCTGGTGCCACCCTCCCCCATGGGTGCCCCCTGGGACTTTTAGGGGGTCACAGACCCCCCGGGACAACCCCGGGCCGCATCCAAATTGCCCACGACAGGCCACGCGAGCCGTACAGATGGTCCAGAAAGCCTCAAGAAGGCCCGAAGACGCCCAAGATGGCCCCAAGACAGTCCAAGAAGCCCCGAAGCCGCCTCAAGACGCTTCAAAGAAGCGTCCCGAGAGAGCCCCGAAAGGCCAAAATCGATGATTTGCCATTGTGTGTTTCGATGTTTTTGGTTTCGATCGCCTGTTCATTTTTTCGACGCTCCAACAAGGCCCAACAGGTCCTCAAGAGCGCCCCAAGACTGCCCTGGAGGCCCCCCACACGACCTGAAGACGCCCTGGACAGCCCCAAGACAGCCCAAGTGGCGCCCCCGAGGGCCCCAGAAAGCCCAAGACGGCCCCGAGAAGGTTTCCAGAGGGGTCCACGAGGGAAAAACTAAAAGTCAAAATTTTATTTCCCCGCCCTGAAAGCTTCCCAGGAGGCCCCGGGAGAGCCCCAAGACGCGCCAAGGAGGCCCCCAAGAGGACCCGAGGAGGTCCCCAAGAGGCCCCCCAAAAAAACCTAAGAGGCCCCAACACGAGCGCCGCGCTGCGCAGACGCCGTCGCGCAAACTTCTCGGGCCTAGGCGGTTCCAGGAGATGTTCCCGGAGGGACCTCCAGGGACATTTGCTTCGGGGGGGCGGTGATCCACGCCCTGCCCCTTGCCGTCGTCGTCGTTGTTATCGTGGGCGTCATCGTCGTCGGCTCTTTTTGAAACTGTTCGTAGGTTTTTGGTAGAGATTCGGGGCTCGGAGTTCGATAAGGTTTTTCGCAGTTTTCGGCCCCAAGGGGCCCGTTTTCGGGTCCCGGGAGTACAACATCAACCCCTGGACATGTTGTGGATCTATGTATATATATACACACACATACATACATACATACATACATACATACATACATACATACATACACACATACATACATACGTACGTACATACATACATACATACATACATGCATGCATGCATGCATGCATGCATGCATGCATGTATACGTTTACGGTAGATGTGTGGGCGTCAGGGGGGGTGCGTGTCACATCGGCCGCATTCGCTTGCATGGCAGCTGTTCTGGCTGGTTCTGCGCCCTCCAGGGAGGGCATGGACGCCCCCGGGACCACCGTGCCGCGCCCTTCGCCCGTGCGATACTGCGGGTGGTGCGCGGGACCCCTCGGGCGAGGGGAGTCGCTGGCCCTGGCCGAGGGCGGGTCCCTCCTGGAGGTCTGCGAGCTGTGCTACATCATCGGTCTGATTCGGCAGGCGGCGTGGCGCGCCCGCCTCAGCGTGGAGGAGAGGGCGGCGCTGCTCGACTCCGCCCGGCTCCTGGGCGCGCTGCTCTCCGCGCTCGCCGGCCTGGGGCTCGATGGCGCCGAAGGCGAAGGCCGTCGCCAAGGGCAAAGCCAAGGCTAAGGCTAAGGCGAAGGCCTTGGGCCGAGGACGCGCCCGCGGCCGAGGGCGCGGCGCCGGCGGCCTCGGGCGAGGAGCCGCGGGGAGAGGCGGAGGTGCCGCCGCCTTCCCGCCTGTTGCCCCGGGCCTGGCGGCGGCCGCGGCGGTCGGCGGCGCCGCGGCGGCCGCGCCCGCGGGCGGCGGTGCCGGCGCGCCCGCGGTGCCTGGCCTAGCGGCGCTGCCCGGCCTGCCAGGCTTCGGAGGCGGCGGGGCTGCTGGGGCGCCCCCGGCGGGCGGCGCCGTGCCTGACGGCGGAGGTGCCCCCCCCAGCGGCGCGGGCGCCGCGCTGGTGGGCGCGCTCGCGGGCGGCGGCGGCGGCCCTCCTGGAGGCCCTCCTCCTGGCGCGGTGCCGGGGGCCCCGGCGATCCCTGGTGTGCCGATCGCGGTGGCTGGCGGTCCCATCGCCCCAGCGGGCGGCGCGCAGCTGGGACCACTCGTGGACGGTCCGTGGCGTCAGGCCGTGACTCTGATTGGCGCCGACTGGCGCCGAGGGGTGAATCTCGAGCTCCCGACCTTCGACGCAGCTGGAGGCATCAGCGGGACGGCCCTCTTCGAGGTAGAGGAGATCGGCACCACGGGCCCCTCAGGGCAGTACCTGAGCGCCCAGTTCAGGGGGGCGTCGCTGGCGGCCGAGGCGATGCGGCTGGACGGCCTGTTCCCACCGCGCGGCACCGGGCCTGCGGGCCTCCTGCACTTGCGCGGGCAGGGACCGGCGCTGTGCGGGGAGCCCGCTGTGCCAGGCCGAGGAGTCCTGCATGTCGAGTGGCTGCGGCTGCGCTCGAACCGCGGGTTCGTGGAGCCGTGGGTGCGGCCGAGCGCCTTCGGTGGGCGCGGCGGCGGCGGCGCCTTGGCGGGGGGCGCCCCAGCCGGGGGCGCGGCCCCCGACCGCCTGGCGGCAGCTGCCGCGGCGCGCGCGCAGGCCGCTACGGCGACGCCTGGCCGCGCCGGTGGCGGTCGCGGCCGCCGCCGCCCCCGGAGCTCCTCGGCCTCGCGCAGCGACGACGACGGTGAGTCGCGTTTTCGCGAGGCCCCCTCCCGCGGCGGCAGCGCACGGCTGCTGGCGGAGAAGCGCCCAGGCGCCCTGTACGACGAGGCGACGAAGAACATCGGGCGCGTCATGGGCCTGCGGGAGGGGGCGGACGGCTCAGAGGTTCGAGCGAAGGTCGTGGGCTACCTGCAGGCCGTGGTGTTCGGCCATCACCCTCCAGGGCAGATGCGGATCAACACTCAGCGGGAGCTGCAGACGCTGGCGACCGCGCTGGACCTGCTGGAGTGTGGGTGCCTGGCGGAGTTGAGCGACGTGTTGATGCAGCGCTTCAAGGCTCTGGAGCTGTCGCTGTCCGACGCGAGCTGGCAGGTGGCGAGCGAGCTGGAGATCGTGCCGGACGCGCGGCCCTCGCTGGCCTCGATGGGCGAGCAGGACCTGGCGCGGCGGGCGGCACTGCTGCGCAGGAGGCTGATGGACGCGAAGAGCCGCGGCGCCCTCGGCGGCAAGGGTCAGGGCGAGCGCCAAGCTTGACCCGAGGAGGCGAGGCGCGGGAGCGGCGGAGCCCACTCGCCCTCGCCGAGCCGCCAGCAGGGCCGCGGTCGCGGGAAGAGCCGCGGGCGCGGCCGAGGCCGCTTCTCCCCCCTGCCGGCGGGGAGCCCAGCACGGCCTTGGGCAGGGCCCGCAGCCGCAGCCCCGCCCGCGGGTCCGCCAGGCGCAGCGCGCTCAGGCAGCGCGGGCAGGTCACCGTCTCCGGGGGCGCTGAGGACGCCTCGAGGCGACAGCCCGCACCCGAGGGCGGCGGACGGGCCGAGGCGTGTCTCGCTGGCGACGAGCCCGGAGCGCCACGTCATCAGGCAGGACCAGCCCGCGGCTGCGGCGGCAGCGGGCCTGCAGCAAGGTCCGCCGCGAGGCCCGGCCCCCCCGAGCGGCCGCCGCCGTGGCGGCAGGAAGCACCGGGGCCGAGGCCGAGGCGGCCTTCCTGCGACGCTGGGGTGAGGCAGCGAGCTGATGGTGCCAGCGCTGATGATGCGCGTGCGAGTGCGACCGACTTTGGTGTGGTTGCCCGCTCGCGCAGACCGCCCTGGACTTCACCGTCGCGCTCGCCGCCTCCGAGATTGGCTCCTGACCGTGGCGGCGCTGCCGCCTCTCGCCACCCAGCGCCCTCGTCGTGCCAGCCGGCCTGTGGTACGGATGCCGACTGTGACGGCGATCCGCTGGCAGAGTGGCGCGAGTGGGCTGGCGCGGCGAGCGATCTTCTACGAGAACCTTTCGACGTGGGCCCCGTGTTGTTGAACATAGTCCGCCAGTTCCCAGGCTCCTTCGGTCGCTTCACTAGATATTCCCTCGAGGTAAAGCCACGCGAGCATCCGGCCGACATGGGAGGTCGGCTTCAGCGAGATCTGTTGCCGTTACCATACCCTTCGATCACCAGGTCCCAGATCGCCGAGCAGGGCGAGGACCCTTTGAGCGACAAGGAGTGGGAAGGACTACACTGCAGGCTGGTGGTCACTGTCCTGGCGCTAAACTGGGAGTCTGGGTTCCGCCCCCTGCAGCTGGCCAGGCCCTGCCGAGGTCGAGCCAACGCCGCGCAGCAGGCAGCCCTGGTCGCTCTCGGCCGCCGCCTCCTCTTGGCTACGCGGGCCGAGTCTGCTTCGCCGCCAGATCTTGACTGGAACGCGCGGCTGAAGGACCGCAAGATCGGCTACGGCGGGGACGAGATCTCGGCCCCGCATCGGCTGACGCTGGAGCAGGTGCTGGACGGGCTGCCTCCGCCGGGCGTCGCGGCCCCCATCGAGGCGGCCGACCTCGCGACGGGGTTCGTGCGTGAGGCCCTCCTGGACCCGACGCTAGTGCTGCTGCCCGCTGCCCTGCGGCGGCCCGCGCCGACATCTGCGCGCGCGTGGGCCTCGCTCGAGGAGTGGCATCGGATTGTGCGGGCGCTCCACGAGCGCGGGATGGCGTCGGCGATCCCGAGCAGCGAGATTGCCTGTCGCGACGGAGCCCCGCTCCTGAACGGGGCGCTCGGGGTGCCCAAGCCCCACGACGAGCCCATGGTCTGCAGCGACGGCGAGCGCAGGCCGGTCCTGAGGCCGATCACCAACCTCATCCCCTCGAACGCGTGCCAGGAGTGCATCGTGGGAGACACCCCTGAGATGCCGACCATGAGCCAGCTGAACGGCCTGGTGCTGACCGAGTCGGAGGATCTCCTGTGGAGCGGCGCGGACAGAAAGGCCTTCTTCTACGTCTTCCGCGCGCCGCCTGCGCGGTGGCCTTACATGGTGATAGGGCCGCCCGTCCCCTCGGAGTTGCTTGGCCTGAAGGACGGTGGGACCACGCACATCTGCCTGCGGGTGATCGGCATGGGCTGGATCAGTGCCGCGGGCGTGACGACCCACCTCCACCGGAACATGCTGCGGCGGAGCGCCTCTGTCCCTCGCGGCCTGCCGCCCAGCCAGGAGATTACTCGGCGCCGACGGCTGCCGTTCAGCGTGGAGAAGCCGTGCCCTCCGGCGTGGATGGTCTACATTGACAACCTGGAGGTCGCGGAGGTCGCGAGCAAGTCCGAGGCCACGACGCTGCGAGGGACGGTGCCCGAGCTCATCTCCGAGGCTCGCGCCTGCTATGCGGCTGCGGGCTCCCCGGGGTCGCCGGCCAAGGACATCCATCGAGTGCCGCGAGCGACGACCTTGGGGGAGCTCATCGACGGGGTCGAGGGCGTTCGGCGGCCCCCTGCGGGTTACCTTACCGAGATGGCCAGCCTCACGCTGTGGACGCTGAGCAAGAAGCGGGCCAGCATGCGGCTGGTGCGCATTCTGCTGGGCCGCTGGGTTCGTGTTCACTGCTTTCGGCGGCCACTGGCGGCCAGCTTTGCCTACACCTGGAAGTGGCTCGGGAACCCGCGCACTGGCGGCCGCTTCAGCGTGAGCGTGGTCGAGGACCTCTTGATGCGCCTTGCGCTGTCAGGGCTTTGCGTCGCTGACCTGCGCCTCGAAGTCGACCCCCTGGTGACCGCGTCGGATGCCTCGGAGGCCGCTGGCGCCGTGGTCTACGGCTACGCCCTCTCCGACCGCGGGCGCGCGCTGGCCGAGAGGCGGCAGCGGCCCGCGAACGCCGCCTGCGAGGAGGAGACCGCCCTCGTGACTGTCTTCGACGGCATCGGCGGCGGGCGCCGGGCTTTCGAGATCCTCGGACTGGTCCCTGCCGTGCACCTGTCATTCGAGGTTGACCCCACGGCGGTGCGGGTGGCCCGGCGCAGCTACCCCAGCACGCAGCACCTGGGGGACGTGACGGAGGCGGACCCGGCGGCCCTGGCAGCCCTGCTGCGCGCCCGAGGCCAGGTGTCGCGTGTGCTGGTGGTGGGCGGCTTCCCGTGCCAGGTCTTCGCGGGCCTCAACGTTGCTCGGCAGGGTCTCGACGACCCGCGCGCGGGCCTGTCTGACCACATGGTGCGGATCGTGGACGGGCTGCGGACGGCCATGCCGGAGGCGTCGATCGACTTCCTCGGGGAGAACGTCGCGTCGATGCCCGAGTGCAACGTGCTGCGCCTGAACCAGCTCTTCGGCCGCATCCCGCTGGAGATTGAGGCGGGGGATGTCGGCTGGGTCAGACGTCCGCGGCTCTACTGGGCTTCGTGGGACCTCCTGCCGTCCTTCGAGGCTGAGCCCGTCGTGGTGCGGGCCAAGACCCAGGACGTTCGGCGCGCCTGCAAGGTGGCGCTGAAGGCGGAGCGGCCGCCGCTCGAGGAGTGGCTCCCGCCCGGGGCTGTGTGTCCGGGTCCCGCTGCAGGGGAGCCGCTCCCGACCTTCGTGCGCTGGACGCCGCGCTCGCAGCCGCGCCCCAGGCCTGCGGGCATCGGGGAGTGCAGCGCTGCTGAGCTGGCGCGCTGGGAGGCGGCGGGCTTCGCTTCGCCGCCCTACCAGTTCCGTGACAAGTGGTGCATCCACCAGGCGGATGGCCGCGTGGAGCCGCCTCACGCGACCATACGAGAGAAGCTGATGGGCTTCCCGGAGGGCCACACCGCGCCGTGCATGACGAGCAGCCAGGCGAAGGCCGAGCCCGCCAAGTACGAGTTCTTCGGCGGTCGCTCGTGGGCAACTCCTTCCAGTGCGAGGTCGTGGCCTGGATCATCAGCCACTGGGCCGTCGGAGCTGGGCTGCTGGTCTCGGTGCCCTCGCTGGGTGAGCTGCGCGAGAGTGCGCGAGCCTGGGCTGGTGGCAGGAAGCTGTGGGCCGGCGACGTGACGTCGCTGCGGTGCGGTCGCTCCGAGATCGACGAGGGCCTGCACGCCAAGCTGGACCAGGCTGGCGGGCCCATCTACGTGGGTCGTGGGTCTCGCCGCTGGGGGCTGGCTGCCTCGCGGTGGGGCAACCCTTTCACGATCAGCCCCGAGCGGTCACGCGAGGACGCTGTTGCCCTGCTCGCTGGTTGGATCCGCACGCAGCCCACCTTCCTGCAGAGCTTGGAGACGCTGCGCGGGGCCCTACTGGTCTGTCACTGTGGGCCCGACCAGGCGTGCCATGCCGACATCCTCTTGGCGGAATTGGCGAAGCGTGACGTGGTGGAGCGGCGCGAGGTGGACGCGTCCAGACGCATCGCCATGGGGCTCGTCATGGCGTGCCACAACGACGGAGCAGACATCAGGACCGATGGCGCCTCGGAGGCGCTCGGCAAGATCTTCCCGCGGCAGGAGATCGACTCAGGCATTTGGCGGTGGCGCAAGGCAAGGCAGCTAGTGTGGGATGCAGCAGAGCACATCAACGTTCTTGAGTGCCAGGGCGCACTGATGATGATTCGATGGCGGGCGCGGTCGGTGCGCCGCCATCAGTGCGTCTTCCTGCACCTGCTCGACAGCACGGTCAACATCGGTGCGCTGTCCAAGCACCGTTCCAGCAGTCCTCAGCTCAACAAGGTGGCGCGGACCTTCTCGGCGTGGGAGCTTGCGATGGGCGCGCGGGCGGTCTTCGGCTTCACGTCGTCGGCTCGCAACCCCGCGGACGCCCCCTCGCGTCTCCGCGATGGGTAAGAAGCGGAGTAGCCCTGCTGACCGCCGCGCCGCCAGAGCTGGACTGGGGAAGCTGAGAGACGCCAGGATAAAGGCCTCGACACTGGCCCGCTACCGTGGCGCCGCTCAGCGTTTTGTTGACTACCTTGCTGCCAATAACCTGCCGCTGCCTTTCACCTGGGACGATATTGATATCTGCCTGCAAGATTATCTTGAGCACTTGTGGGCCGAGGGCGCCACAAAAGGAGAAGCCAATGACACCCTCAGCAGCGTGCAGCACCTGCTGAGGATACGACGCCGCTATCCTGGCGCTTGGCAGCTGCTGACAGTCTGGGGCAGACTGGAGATCCCTCAGCGCGCGCCGCCGATGCCTGCCCAGGTGTGCACGGCGCTCGCCGGTTGGGCGCTCAGCCGCGGAGAGGTGGCCTTCGCGGCCGCGCTGCTCGTGGCCTTCCATCTCTGTCTCCGCACTGGCGAGGCTTTGGGGCTGAGTGGCGGCGTCATCTTTCTAAAGCCCTGTGGCCGAGGCGCGGTGTCGTTGCCCTGGACCAAGACCTCTTGCCAGAAGGGCGCGCGGGAGCAAGTCACGCTTGACGACCCGCTGGTTGGGGCAGTCGTCCATATGCAGCTCCAGCGTGACAGCCGGCTCTGGCCCGGCACGACGCGCGCCTTTCACGACTTGTTCCGTACTGGGCTCCAGCAGATCGGTCGCAGGCACCTCGCCCTGTCTCCTTACAGCCTGAGGCGCGGAGGTGCCACGCATGAGTTCCTGCTGTCGGGCGACTTGTCTAAGGTCATGCTGCGCGGGCGCTGGAGCTCGGCAAGAACGGCAAAGATATACATCCAAGACGGGGCTGCCATCATCGCAGAGATGAAGCTCCAGGATCGTACCCGTTCGGCGCTCCAGCAGTTCTCTAATACACTTTTCGCTCGAGTCCGAGCGTTTTGCAGCCCGTGACCTGCTGCAATAATTTGTGATGTCTGGTGCGAGCTGCTGCCCGCGCTGCCGTCGCCAGGCTTGACATTTCTTCGGCCTACGGCCAGAGGAAAAACACAGAATGGGGAGCTTGGTGTCTTTTTCGAGAGTTGGCGAGCTTCTTGGGCACGGTCCTGCTGGGCTCTCAGGGGGTTCTCTTTGCTGGGCCCCCCCAAGGCCGTCGAGCCTCCCCTGGCCCCCGAGGCCGTGGAGCGTTCTGGCCCCAGTCTCCCGTGATGGTGGCCGACCCCAGTCTGCGGATGGTGGTCTGCGAATCCAGCTCTGGCCTCGGGGTGCGGTCTGTGCTCTGGCGTGGGGGGTCGGTCCGTGCAAAAGAGAGTAGACCTTTCGAGCTCCGTGCAGAGGCCTCTGCAAATATAAATATAGTGCCCATGGGAGTTTAAGCTCTGTCAACAGCTTTGGCCGATTGAAGAGGGCAAGACATTTCCCCTTAATTCGATGAGCTATCGCTCACCCCCCGCCTGCCCTACACATGTATACGTTTACGGTAGATGTGTGGGCGTCAGGGGGGGTGCGTGTCACATCGGCCGCACTCGCATGCATGGCAGCTGTTCTGGCCCACCCACGTACCGCCCTAAGTGGCGAATGCATTGAGTCTCGCGAGAGCTCGAGCTTCTTGGGCACGGTCCTGCTGGGCTCTCAGGGGGTTCTCTTTGCTGGGCCCCCCCAAGGCCGTCGAGCCTCCCCTGGCCCCCGAGGCCGTGGAGCGTTCTGGCCCCAGTCTCCCGTGATGGTGGCCGACCCCAGTCTTCGGATGGTGGTCTGCGAATCCAGCCCTGGCCTCGGGGCGCGGTCTGTGCTCTGGCGTGGGGGGTCGGTCCGTGCAAAAGAGAGTAGACCTTTCGAGCTCCGTGCAGAGGCCTCTGTAAATATAAATATAGTGTCCATGGGAGTTTAAGCTCTGTCAACAGCTTTGGCCGATTGAAGAGGGAAAGACATTTCTCCTTAATTCGATGAGCTATCGCTCACCCCCCGCCTGCCCCACACATACATACATACATGCATGCATGCATGCATGCATACATACATACACGCACACACACATACATACATACATACATACATGTATGCATACATACATACATACATACACACATACACACATACATGCATACATACATACATAAACAGATATATCGATATATATATATATATATATATATAGCTCGCCCCCTGGTATCATATCATTTTCCTTGTTCTCGATACTTCCCACTTCTGTCTTTGTCAGCCCCCCCCCTCGTATGCTGCCCACTCTCCGTCCGCATCGGCGTCGTTCCTTCCCGGCATTTCTTTCTATGATTCGTTCCTTCTCCTTTTGATGATGTTCGTTATCCTCCCGATCCCCCCTCCTCCCTCACCCCTCGTCCCTCCTCCTTCGTCCCACCCTTCTCCGTTGCAGGGCCTCGTCATATTCCACCCCTTCGCAAGCTTCCTTACCGCCCTCGTTCCTTCTACTCTTTATTGCCCCTCCTACTCTTCATTATCATTGTCGTTCCTTCTACTCGTTTATCGCTGATCCGACTTCTCTGCATATCCTCGTCGCTCCTTCTATTCTCCATCGATCTTGGGGGCCTCCCACGAAACTCCCACAAGACGAATCAATATGCGGAGGCCCCTCCACAAAAGAAATCCATATGCAGGACTCTACTACCAGTCATCCCCCCTCCCTCCTCCCCCCTCCTGCTGCTGGAGGCCCTGGGGGAGAGCGAATGGGCGGCGGGTGGAGGCCCTGGGGGAGAGGCCCTGGAGGCCCCCTGCGGGGGACAAGAGGAGGAGATGACGGGTCTCGCTCAAACTTTGACGACCAGTGCCACGCCTGCATCATCTGCCGCCGCGCGCCGGCGGCAGGCGATCGCGACGCGCGATCGGAAGCGCAAGGCTTCGTTCGAGCGGTGGATCAAAAAGCCGCGCAGCAGGCAGGAATTGCGGCAAGCAGGTGCGCCCCACCCACTGCCACCCAATCTTTGCTGAAGGCTGGGGGAAAGAAACCTCGACGCTGAGGACAAGGCCAGGGTGCTTTTCGGCATCCCCACGGGAATGGCGACCGCGCAGATTTACCTGCACTACGTCAAGAACCACAAGATGATCGAGGACATGACCCACAACCTCGACCTGGCTCGCAGGCAGTACGTGGAGAAGTACGAGAAGGACATCGTGTACGGCGACGGCAAGAAGTGGGTGGACGTGGAAGCTGACGAGTCAGTCTTTGCCACGGCGCTCACGGAGGACCAGCAGGCGAAGGAGTGGGAACAGTGGGCGGGGGTCGCGCAGCGGGGCAAGCCAGCCACGCTCGCGCTGTTCAAGACGGAGTCCGACCGCACCGCCAAGAACGCACCCGGCCCAGGAGCAATCAAGAAGAGCAACTGGAAGCCGTTCCTCCTGGGCCGCCTCAAGGATCGCAAAGTGGCCTTGCATTGAGACGGTGCAAGGAGCTACAAGATGAAGGCGCCAGGCTTGCTCCACGACGCAGCGATCCACCGCAAGAAGCGCGCGAAGCGGGGGGGGGAGCGGGCGCGGATCCAGCCCGTGTGCTCGAAGATCGCCAAGCACAAGCTCCCGAGCGGCAACGCGCTGAAGGTCAAGTCGGGCACGCTGATCATCGATAGGGCCTGGAAGCACGTCATGAACCACATTGGCCCTCGGGCGCACAAGCCGCACAGCAGAGCACTTGCCGCCCGCGTCCGCTCCGCCCAGTGGGAATACTGGCATCGCGGTCAGGATCTCTGGGCTGCCATGGGCGCAATGGTTTGCGATTTAACGAGGTGCGCCAGCGAGGGCGTAGTGACATGAGGGTTGAATTTGTTCTGCGTTATACATAGATACGCAACGTGCGCGTTCGTGGCGGGAGGCCGCCAGGAAAGCATGCCGCCTCGCACCGTGCGCGCGGCGGCTAGAATGTGTGATCGCACCGCGCAGAACAGCAACGCGCGCATCGCGAGGCCCGGCCATCCTGCTTCGCATGACATCGCGGCCGTTGCTGGCCGCCGCCGTAGCCAGCCAGCCAGAGGTAAAAGATGCACCGGCGTTGCCATCGCCCCCTCTCGTCCCCAGACGCCCGCGCGCAGCGCCACGCGGCGGGCGCGCGCCACCTCGCAGGCATTTGGGGCAGACGTTGCGCTCTCCAGCCATCCTGCGCGGTCTTCTGCATCGCGCCCGTTTACACATCATGAGCGATGGCGGACAGCCACTCAGCCAGTATAGCGATGGCGGACAGCCACTCAGCCACCCACTCAGCGTTCGCGGCTGGAGGCCGCGCAGGTTGTCATAAGTTCGTTCGCGTTCGTTCTACCACGCCGTGCTGTTTAGTTGTCCAATTGCGCTTGTTGTGCGACGAGTTCATCCCAGCATGCAGCTTACCATCGCAGAGGCAATTTAAAACCAACGCTCATCGTCTCCTCCTCCCCCCACCCCGATGGGGAGCAACAAAACAAAAACTCAGCCTCCGAATGCGGGGAGGGGGCAACAAGAGGAACTCGCCTCCTCCTCCCCTTTCCCCAAAAAATGAGAAAACAAAACAAAAAAATGCGTTCACATGGAGAGAGATGGAGAACAAACAAAAAAAAACAAAACAAAACAACAACAAAAAAAAAAAAAAAAAAAAAAAACGCCTCAGAGGGCGGGGAGGGGGAAAAAGGAAAAAACGCCCTGCCCTTGTTTGTTTTCCCCCATTTGGGGAGACGGGGGAGGAGAAGGGGGGAGAGGGGTAGGCGGAGGAGACGGAGGAGGGTGTTTTTTTTCCTTGCGTTCTTCCTCCCAGCTCTCGGAGGCGGAGTTGTTTTCCTTGTTTTCCTTGTGGAAACACAGGCTTTTCCTATGTGTCATTTTTAAAAATGTGTTTCGCTCTCCCGTTCGGCCCCTCGGGGTATCCCCGCCGCCCCAGGGAGGGCCCGCGGGGGGGGGGGGAACAAAAAACAACAAAAACTATATATATCTATATATATATAGATATAACACCAAAAATGTGCTTACACATGGAAAAAGGGGGAAAACTCCGCCTCCGAGGGCGGGGAAGGGGAACAAATAAAAAAAAACTCCCCTCCGTCTCCTCCGCCTACTCCTCTCCCCCCTACTCCTCTCCCCCGCTCTCTGGTATCATACCACTCGCCGTTCGCAGTCGCCGTTCACAGAACGGCGAATGGTATGAGACCAGGGGGCGACCATGTGTATATATATATATATATATATATGTGTATGTAGATATGGGTGTATACATATATATATATATATATATATATATATATGTCTATATATACATATATATATATATATATATATATACACATACGTACATATATACGTCTATATATATATGTGTCTACATACGTACATATATATATATATATAATATATATATTATATATATATATATATATATGTATAGGCCGGGGGGGGCAGAACTGCGACCTCTGGTTCGCATGGGGGGCCAGGGGGCATTAAGGGCTGCAAGAAAGTTCAGAAGGGGCCCTGGGCACCCCCCAGAGGCTCCCAAGCTGGCCCAAGAGGCGCCCAAAGCGCCCCAGGCTCCCTGAGGCCCTCTTGGAGCCAGCTTGGGCCATCTTAGTCGCTCCGACATCTCGCGAAACCCCCATGTCCAGGTCCATGGGGAGGGGGGGGAGGGGTAAACCCCTCCCCGAAGGGGAGGAAGGAGGGGTGGAAGAGGAAACTCCCTAAGCCACCGACGCCCAGAGGGCTGGTGGGATTGTGTTTGTGACGCTTCGGGCCGCATTGGACCCGCATCTGATTTGATTGTATTCCAATGCATTGCACTGCGTTGCCGTTTTGGTCACCATTGCTGTCAATGGTGTGCATATCTTCGCATTGAATACCATGATGGACAGGTCCTTGTCGGCAATTCGTATCCGTTCTGCCCGCGTTATAGATGCGGTACCCCATGATCCACCTATGTATGGGTAACTAATGTAGTGGCTATGTGAACTTGCCAAGGGCTGGGGCTGACTAGAACCTAAGCGCGCGCGAAGCGCGCGAGTGGTTCTAGTATGTATATGTGCATTTGTTTGTATGTAAGTATGTATATATTTTATTCGCAGTTGCGAGGGGCTTTCTACATGTTAGAGATGCGCACATTTCTTCTCGTTCTCGAGCAGTCACTCGGATGACACTGCCATTTTGCTGTTTGGACCCTTCTGCCGTTGTTGATGATAGGACTGGGTTGTTCCGCGGCGATGCGGGTTCAATGAGCCGACGGTCGTCGAAGTGGCACATCGCTGTCCATGTCCTTCGCATCCTCCCTCCTCCATCTGGCCTCCTCTTCCTTCCCATCATCTGCCCTTCCTCTCCTGCTGCTGCCTCCTCTCGCCCGCTTGCTGCACGGCTGGCGTGCGCCTGCGCACCCGCTCTTCTTTCAAAAGTGCAGTTTGCCCCTGAGGGGAACCGAGAGACAAATCCTGCTTTTCGTCGCTGTCCTCCTCGTCGTCCACCACCTCCTGGTCCCCTTCCTCGTGTTTCATCCGTTCTGCCCCGATGGCATTGCCCAGGCATCTGTTCGGGCGCGTCGCCGGCACGCCGCCACCGTTGCTCAGCAGCACCAAGCTGATGCTGTAAGTTGCACGCGCGAACTGACGGCCCTCATTTACCAGTCACGCTGGCACGGTGGTACGACTATTTCGACCACTACGACTACCACTACGTTGCTATGGCGACGGAAAAGTATGTTATACCGTTCTTCGCTCGTGCGCCCCCCAAAAAAACAAGCAAACGAACAAACTAAAACAGCCCAAGAAGCCCCCAAGAGAGCCCGAGGACTGCCCACGAGGGCCCCAAGAAGGCCCAAGACGGCCCAGGAAGGCCCCTGCAAGCCCCAGGGGAGTCCAAAGGAGGCCCCCAGACAGCCCAGACGCCGCCTACACCGCCCCAAAACAGCCCTAGAAGCCCCCAAGAGAGCCCGCCTGATCCCTTCCTTGCTCTTGGTTATCCTGCGTCTCGCGTTCCACGTCCTTCTCCTTCCTCTCTCCCTCCCCCTCCCCGCTACGTCTTCTTCCCTCTTCCATCCTCCCCGTTTATCCTTCACGCCTGGCTTTTCAATAATGCTAACCATTCGAAGGCTTCACCGGAGCTCTTGGGGGACTCTTGGAGGCCTATTGGGGCGATCTTGGATGCTCTTGGGGGCCTCCAGCGCCGACTTGAAAAAAGGGAGTCCCCTCAGATCCTTTTTTTCAAGCTCGACCCCCCCAGCAGTTCCCTCCTGTCCCAGGCTTTGGCGTGCCCTGGAGTTCGTTTCCGTTTTCCCCAGCCCTCGTTGTCCGTTCTCTGTGTTCTCTTTTTTTGTTGTTCTCTCTCTCTCTCTCTCTCTCTCTCTATATATATATATATCGGAGGTGAGGGGGTGAGATCGAAGTGGAACGGAGAGCCCCCCTACCGGGAAATCGATTTCGGTTTCGTGTTCGTGCGTGCCGTGCGGGCGAGGCGAAGCTGCGTGGGCGGGCGAGAGAAAGTCTCCTGTGGCTGAGGCGCGGCCGGACCAAATGATCCCTTCCGGGCGGCCGGTGGCGCGCGGTGTCCCGCCGGTGTCCCGCTGGTGTCCCGTGTGGCTGAGGCGCGGCCGGACCAAATGACTCCCTTCCGGGCGGCCGGGGGCCCGCGGTGTCCCGCTGGTGTCCCGCGGTCCCGCGGTGTCCCGCGGTGTCCCGCGGTGTCCCGCCGGTGTCCCGCGGTGTCCCGCATGATGATGATGATGATGATGATGATGATGATGATGATGATGATGATGATGATGATGATGATGAGATGATGATGATGATGATGATGATGATGATGATGATGATGATGATGATGATGATGATGATGATGATGATGATGATGATGATGATGATGATGATGATGATGGTGTCCCGATGAAGATGATGATGTTGATGATGGTGTCGATGATGATGATAGTGTCCCGATGATGAGGATGATGATGCTCATGATGATTATGTTGATGATGATGACGATGATGGTGTCCCGATGATGATGATGATGATGATGATGATCCGATGATGTTGGTGATGATGATGTTGATGGAAATGGTGTCCCGGCAATAATGATGTTGATGATGATGATGTTGATGATTATGGTGTCCCGATGATGATGATGATGTTCATGATGATGGTGATGACGATGATGGTGCCCCGATGATGATGAGATGATGATGGTGATGATGAAGATGATGATGATGATGATAATGATGATGGTGTCCCGATGATGTTTATGATGATGATGATGAGGTTGATGATGATGCTGTTGTTGATGATGATTGTGTTGGTGTCCCGATGATGATGATGTTGATGATGATGGTGATGACGATGATGGTGCCCCGATGATGATGATGTTGATGATGAGCATGATGATGAGGTGATGATGCGGATTTCGATGAAGGCGGCCCGATGATGGTGATGATGAAGATGCTGATGTTGATGATGATGATGGTGTCCCGATGATGATGGTGCTGATGGTGATAATGATGGTAACGATGATGATGGTGTCCCGATGATGATGATGTTGATGATGATGATGTTGCTGAGGATGATGACGGTGTCCTGGTGATGCTGATGGTGATGATGTTGTTCATGATTGTGATGATGAGATGATGATGCTGGTGGTGTTCCGATGATGATGATGGTGTCCCGATGATGATGATGTTGCTGATGGTGGTGACGATGATGATGTCCCGATGATGATGATGGTGATGTGATGATGACGATGGTGTCCCGATGTCGATGATGATGTTGATGACGTTGATGACGATGCTGTCGATGATGATAATGATGATGATGATGGTGCTGACGTTGATTGTGAGATCGATTGTGATATCGATAGTGAGATCGATAGTGAGACCGAATGTGAGATTGATTGTGAGAGCGATAGTGGGATCGATCGTGGGATCGATTGTGAGGTCGATCGTGAGATCGATAGTGAGATCGGTAGTGAGACCGATCGAGTGAGACGTTGGTTCCTCCCCCCCGAACCTCCTTATCACCCGAAGGGTGGTCGTATAGGTATATATATATATATATATGTATGTATTGTTATTGCTCCTTCCCCGTCTCCAGTTCCACATCTTTCTCCGTCTTCTCCTCCTCCCTCCTCCCCGCTGCGGCCTCTTCCCGTCTCTCCTTCACGCCTTCCTCGCTCCGCTTCCTTCATGCGCTTTCGTCTCCCACACATCCCTCAACCTCATCTCTCCTTCACTCCTTCCCTCCGCCTTCCTCACCCAGCATCCTGCTCCACTATGTGGCGAGAGGCCCAGCTTTAAAAAAGGAAGTCCCTCAAATCAGTGTGTTTCAAGTTCTACCCCCTTCCGTTTCCTCCTTTCTCAGGTTTTGGCGTGCCCCTTAGTGCGATTCTGGTTTCCCCGTCCATCGTTGTCCGTTCTCTTTGATATCTCTGTCTTGTTCTTGATTATCCTCCGTCTCCCGTTCCACACCCCGACCTTTCCCTCCTCCTTCCTCCCCGCTGCCTCATGTTCCCTCCTCCCTCTTCCTCGTCTCTCCTTCACGCCTTCCTCTCGTCGCCTCCCTCATGCGTTTCCCTCTCCTCCACTCCTCGCTGTTCGTTATCCTGATCCCTTTCTTGCTCGTGGTTATCGTGCGTCTCCCGTTCCGTGTCCTTTTTTTTTCAAGCTCGACCCCCCACCCCTTATCCGTTCCCTCTTGTCCCAGGCGTTGGCTGCCCCAGAGTGCGTTTCAGTTTTTCCCATCCCTCGCTGTCCGTGCTCCCTGGTCTCTCTCTCTCTCTCTCTCTTTCTCTCTCTTGCTCGTGGTTCTTCCCCGTCTCCTGTTCCGCATCCTTCTCTTTCCTCTCCTCCTCCCTCCTCCGCTGCCTCATTTTCCCTCTTCCCTCCGCGTCTATCCTTAACGCTTTCCTCTCTCCGCCTCCCTCATGCTTTTTCGGCTCTCCAACGCTCCAAGACGGCCCAAGAGGTCCCCAAGACAGCGCCAAGACAGCCCAAGAGGTCTCCGCGACGACCTGGGTACGACCCAAGAGAGCGCCAAGACGGCCCGAGAGGCCGCCAATGACGGCCCAAGAGGCTCTCACGACGGCCCCAAGACAAGTACGAGAGCGGGGATCCAAACCGACACCTCGAGCCCAGACGCAAAGAGCCCCAGGGACGCCCCCGAGGCGCCCCAGAAAAGTCCCGAGAGGTCACTTGGAGACCCCAATAAAAACTGGAGAGGCCCCAACCCCCCAGAAACCCCCCAAGTGCCCTCCAAGAAAGTCCCCCAGAGGCGTCCAAAGAGACTCCCAGCATTGTTTTGACAGGCTCTTAAGGGCTCTCGGGCATCCCTCCTTAGGCTGCCCTGGATCCTCCTCGTGTCTGCCTTGCGCGACTTCCTGGAGCCTTAATCAGCGACTCCTGAAGCGTCCATCCGGAAGTACGCTCCGATGTGGGGAACCTTGCTGGGCGATGCCCGTCCTCATCCGATATCGTGAGGTTGGCTTGGACTGCACTAGAACCTAAGCGCACGATGTCGATGCCCGATGTCCGATGTCCAGGTCCGATGCACCAGAACCTAAGCGCGCGCGAAGCGCGCGCGTGGTTCTAGTCTCATGTGACGCGCCGACTGTGACATCACGACGCCGTGAAAGAAAATTACTGACTGGAGCTCCCGACCCGATCTCTGTGCGGGATCTGTTCTCGGGGCGGATCGGCCCGTGAGGGGCCCCGGTGCCCGAGTCGAGGCGACAATGTACGTCGCATTTTTGTTAGCGACGCCCAGGGCTGCCAGGGCATGGCGACGACCAGGGCGAGAACAAGCAGCAGGGCGACGACGACGGCGACGCAGACGACGTCGCAGACGACGGCGGCGGCGACGATGACGACGGCGACGAGGACGACGAGGACGACGACGACGAGGACGACGACGACGACGACGACGACGACGACGACGACGACGACGAGGACGACGACGACGACGACGACGAGGACGACGACCACGCGCGGACCCGCGCGCTCTTTCGGCGGCCCAACCAGGCGCAGCTCCCCAGGGGCGCCGCCTCCGAGTCGGCATTTGGGCGCTGCGCGCCCAACGCCCTGCGCGCGCGCGCTGCGCGCGCTCTCTTGGGCGGCCCTCGAAGGCCATCGGCGGCCTTTGGCGGCCTCCAGTGGCCCAGGAAGCGGCGCGGGAGTTGTCGTTGTCGTCGATGTCGCTGCCGCCGTCTTCGTTCGTCCCTGCCGCCGTCGTCGTCGTCGGACGACGAGGAGGAGGAGGGGGAGAAGGAGGAAGAGCTCGTCAGCGTCGTCCTCCTCCCCCTCACCCTCCTCCTCGGCACGACGACGACGATGGCAACGACGTTTCCACGATGACGACGCCACGCTTCCTCACGCCACGATGACGAAGCCACGCTTCCTCACGCGCTATACCTCCGATGCCTCACCGTGAGCCGTCCGCACCAGCTGATCCCGCTGCCTGTGGCAACTCGCGTCGAGGGGAGGGGAGGAGGCAGAGGCCAGAAGGTGGAGAAGAGGTGGAGGCGAGCGGCGAGAAGATGGAGGAGGCGGAGCTGTTGGATGCCCTCGGCGGCTCGGTGGCAGCTCAGATGCACTCAGCGTTTCGCTTCTGGGGAGCTCCGGGCGGGCGCCTGGGAGGACGAGGAGGAGAGCGGGCGTGCCGAGGGCGAGGCGGCCGGGGTGAAGGAGACCTCGGCCATCCCCCTTCACCCCTCTGCTCCTCGGCCCCTCCACAGGGCGAGGCGGAGAGCCGAACAGTGATCGGAGGTGTGGCGGCGAGGTCGAAGTGGAGCGGAGTGGTGGCGAGAGTCGGAGTGGATCGAAGTGCGAAGGTCGTATCGGTGTCGGTGTCGTGCCGTGTCGTGCGTTGGCGCGCGTGCGGGCGAGGCGAGGCTGTGCGAGGGCGAGAGAGGCCTGGGCCTTTCTCGGAGCAGGGTGTCGTCGTCTGTTGCTCCCTGTCGGTGGCGGTGGGAGGCGGGTCCCAGGTGGTCCCGCGGTTCCCCCCTGGTTGTTCTGTGCTTGCCACGATGGCTGTACAGGGATATCGTTGGATCGATGTCGAGATCGGTGTGCGTCTGTGTTAGCCGACTTGGACTCCAAACAGTGCGTTCTAGCATACTACGTGGTGCGATCTGCGTTGTGCAGTTCATTGTTGTGCGCAGCGAGTTGCCACTTCTACCGCTCGCGCAATCATCCCAGCCACTTGCTGGCGACTTGTTTTGCAAAACCCATGCGGTGGTGCTTGCCACGACTGCCTGGCGCTGGCTGGCAGATCGGTGCGGCCGCGCTAGCGCGCGCAAGCTCGCGCGCACAGCGGCCAGCTAGTCTGGCGCGACCGAAGCGGCCGCGGTGGCGCTGACCGCCAGGGACTTCCCAGTTCGTCTCGTGGGCCGCCGTCACGCGAGGGCATTTCAGGGCGAGTCGGTGACTCGGGCGAGCGCGGTCCCATGGCGACGCCGACAATGGCAGACACGATGATGATAGTAGCGATTCTGGTGACGACGATGACGATGACGACGGCGAGGCCAATGACGGCGCCGATGCTGATCACGCCAATGAAGATGAAGATGCCCACGTGTCGGCGATGAAGGTTTCGGAATGATTTCGACTTGCGCGCGCGGCCGACGGGCCCGAATGGCCCGCATAGTATTATTTGGCAAGGACCGTGCCCAACCCCCCATTCCCCCCCGAGTACGCGCGCAAGGGCGGTCGAATGATGTCGACATGCGCGCGAGAGGCCTGTTTGGGGCTCATTTGATGGCAAGATTGAAACCTATGGTTTGTTTCAGAATTCGCAGGAACGCGCGCGCAGATTTTCTTTGAAAAACCATGTTGTCAAACCATGGTGTTGCGAAGGCCTTACGGCTGGTGCCGCCGACCCTGAAGGGGGACGTCGACGACGACGGCGACGGTGGCGGCGGCGACGACGACGACGCTAAGGTGGGCCCGAGTCCTCAGGGATGCTTCTTGGGGTCTCGTGGGAAGGCTCTAGGTGGCCTCTGGGGAGGAATTGTGAGGTCTCCTGGGAGCCTCTTGGGGGCCCCTTCGGAGCCTTGTCGGGTGTCCTGGAGGCCTCTTGTGAGTTTCTTGGGGCCTCTTGGGAACTTCTTGGGGCCTCTAGGGAGCTTCTCGGGGCCGACGGCTCGAAATGTCCGTTCGGATTCCCCGTCAAGGCACGCTCTTGGAGGCGTCTAGGGGGCCTCTTGGGCCGTCTTGTAGGCATTTTGGGCTGTCTTGGGGTTCTCTTGGGATGTTTCGGAGGCTTTTGGAAGCCTCTTGGGCCGTGTTGGGGCGATTTGAGGGCCCCTTCGGCCGTCTTGGAAAAAAGAAGAGAGAAACAAAATAACAGAAAGCAAAGCAGCAATAAAAACAAACCAACAAAAAAAGCTTCGCCTCTTGGGGCCCTCTCGGGAGTGCCTGTGGAAGAGTCTTGGAAGTCCAGGGGCCTCTTGGAGGTCTCGTGAAGAATTCCTGGGGACTTCTTTGGGCTTCCCGCACCGCGCGAGGGGTCCGGGACCGCGCGGGGACCGCGCGAGGGTTTCGGAATCGAGCGGGGGGAAAGCGTGTTTGGATGGCGACCCCCGCCCCCGACCCGCCCCCCCACCCCCTGGCGCGGGGAAGGAATCAAAAGGAAGACTTCCCTTCGATTCGGTTACGACATTACGAGATTATTCTCTCGCTGACAGGCTTGAGGAGGGTGCTGGGAAAGAGGGCGACGCAGACGACGACTGACGGAGGCGACGACTCGAACAGGCAAACCCTTCGCACATGCAGACAGGGTCGGCGGATTATACCATGTGATTACATGTTGCCCGGGGCCTCGGCATTGAAATCTCTACGAAACCAAAGGTTCTGTAAGGCTTTCGGCATGCGCGCACGACGACGCGCGCGTGTGCGCTTCGCTTAGTGGTTTCTTTTGCCAGGGATTATTGGAAACTGCTGAGTTGGATGAGGAAGGGTGTCACACCCAGCTTGACTGAGATAGTCCGAATTCAGATTCAGAGAGAACGATGGGGCAGCATAATTTGCACACCCCCAGGGGGTACCGATAATTCCTGAAGGGGAGGAAGAACTTCAACCTTTTTGTGAAAGGGGAAGTATGCAGCGCAGCAATTTAAAAGCCGCGCCAAACAACGCCAAGCAATGCAAAGAAACGCAAAGCACTGCAGAGCAATGCAAAGCACGGTATAGCAATGCAAAGCATTGCAAATCGATTTAAAGCAGCACAGCGCAATGCGATTTCAAAGCGGTGCGATTAAATGCCATAGCGCAAAGCAACGTCAAGCACTGCAAAGCAATGCTAAGCAATGCCAAGAAATGCAAAGCGGGCGGCGACGAGGTGGCGGGCGGCGACGAGGCGGCGACGATGGCGGCCAGAACGGCCCGCAGGCCCAGGCGACGGACGGCGACAAGGCGGCGACGGCTGCTACATGGCGTTGCCCGCAGGACCACTTCGTCAGAAAAGAAGTAAGACCCCCTAGGTGCAAGCACTGTTTAAGGAATCTCGCTAGATAGATAGAGCGCGAACCCGATCCAACGGCAATCGCAAACCGAAAGCTGCACCCATCCCCGCCTCCTTCCTAAACCTCATTATCTTCCGAAGGTTGGTCAAATCGGTATCCTATACCAGTTCGTGTGCTGCCTCGTCCACGCCTTCAACAGGCACACGACTTGGGGCTACAGCCTCCACGCCATGCCCAACGACGCACTAGCGTCTCCCCAGCGGAACGCGTGCGGCTCTGGGGTCCGTTCGCTCCTTCGCTCCCATCCCCCATTGCCCTCGCCCCCGCCCCCATCTCCTCCCTCATTCCTCCTCCGGGCGTGGCTCCCTCTCTTCCTCCTCGACCTCGGTTTTCCTGCTCCTCCTCCTCCTTCTCCTCCCCGTCCTCTCTGTCCCCCTCCTTCCCCCTCCACCGCCCCCTCGCGTCCCTGCTCCCACTCCTGCCCCCCTCGTCCTCCTCGACGCCCCCGCTGCCCACCCTCGCACCCCCCCCCCCCCAAGCTCCGTGCGCGACGCGCCCTCCCCCGCCCAGCCCGCGGGGGCGCCGCAGGCACTGGGAGCCCAAGGAGCCGCACCTCCGCCCGGTGCGAGGGTGGCTCCAGCCTTTGGCGGAAGTGGGAAGGGCAGGCCCACCTCCACCACCACCTCCTGACCCCCTCTCCTCCTCGTCTCCCTCCTCCTCCTCCTCCTCCTCCTCCTCCTCCTCCTCCTCCTGCTCCTCCTCCTCTACCTTCCCTTCCTCCCCCTCCTCCTCCTCCTCCTCCTCCACCACCTCCACCTCCACCTCCACCTCCTTCTCCCCCTCCTGTGCCGTGAGTTCCTGACTGGGAGATTTGGCCATCCTCCACCCCCTCCTGCCCTTTCTCCTGTGCGCGAGCTCGCTGCTGTCGCCCAACCAGGACGGGTTCTTCTTATCTTGAGTATCCTCCCTTTGCCGGTTCCGATGCCGTCTGTTGCGGCTGGACGAGCCACAAGAAAGCTGGACGTGCCACAATAATCGGCGTTTTGCTTTAGGCGCTCCCCAAGATTGCCGCGAACTGATCGACAGGACGGGCGAAGCCACCGGCAAAACCAAAACCTTTGGTTATACGGCAAGGTGCTCGTCCCAGATCTCCTCCCTCGTCACCAGCTGGCCCTTCCTGTTGCGAGTTCTCTCGACGATCAACTTCTTCGATCCAGTCCGACCATGGACCCATGGCCCGAGCAAGATCCTTAGCAGAAGCGGCCGCCTCGAAGCTCACATCCGCACTGTACACGTCCGCGCCCGCGCCATCCAGCGCACACAGCCGCCACGGCACCACGATCGAGACGCGCGCCGGACTGGCGAACACACGAATGTGAAGAGTTGCCCGTTGTTTTCAAGCGCCGCGGCGTCCGCGACCAGCGGGGGGTCCATGGCCACGCCGATCTCTACAGAGCCATCGGCCACGGCGGGGGTTGCGCAACTGGCTGGATCCAGAAATGTGGCCCGCGCTGGAGTGGGAGCGCATATCTGAACGACGGGAGCAAAGCGCCGATCCTGGAATGTGGCCAAGGTTGCCGCGGGAGCATACGCTCGTAGGAACGAGACCGTTCTGATCGACAAAGCAGCATAATATACAATGTTTGAAATCTTGCGCGCGTGCCAAAAGCAAGCCTACGCGAGAGAGGTGGCCCCCCGCACCAGGTAGTCTGATTGTTGTTGTGGAGGAGGAGGAGGAGGAGGAGGAGGAAGAGTAAGAAGAGGGATGGAAGAATGGAGGAACGGAGGGATGGAAGAACGAGAGGGGGATGGGGAGGGCGCGGAGGAAGGGTGTGTAGGATGTGAAGATCCCCTTGCCCTGGTGGAGGGTCCACGTCTGGGACGAGGTGGACGCCCTCTTCCGCGATCCCCGCGCCCCACGCTGGGCGGCGATGGGCTGCATCGCGGTGACCCTGGGCAGCGCGGCGTGGGAGGAGGACAGAGGAGAAGGACGGAGGATGGAGGAGGGGGCGGCTAAAGAGAAGGAAGAGGAGGAGGACGAAGAGGAGGAGGAGGAGGAGGAGGAGGAGGAGGAGGAGGAGAAGGAGGAGGAGGAGGAGGAGGAGGAGGACGGAGGAGTCGAGAGGAGGCGGGAGCAGAGGGATGGCGGAGGAGGCGGGAGAAGGAAGGGGAGGGAGGAGGGGGAGGAGCAGGAGCAGAAGGGGGGAGGAGGGAGGAGAGGAGGAGGGAGGAGGAGGAGGAGGAGGAGGATGAGGAGGAAGAGGAGGAGGAGGGAAAGAGGGGAAGGAGAAGGAGGAAAAGGAGGAGCAGGAGGAAGAGGAGGACGGAGGGAAAGAGCCGGCGCGCGTGCAGCGCGCAGCCGGCAGCCAGTGGACCGCCGGGGATCTCTGCCCCATTCTCCCGCCCCCCCGAGCCCCTCCTGCGCCCCGGCCGTCCCCATCCCTCTGAGGTTCGAGGGGCCCCGGCTTCTCCTCCCTGTTCGGCCGGCGGCTTCCAGAGGAGGCCTTGGGCTGAGCAGAACACGCATCTCCTGAGGACTCGCCCAGGAGGAGGAGGAGGAGGAGGAGGAGGAGGAGGAGGAGGAGGACCTGGGCGAAAACGGACCACTCGTCGCGCGGGTGGTGTCTGTACCCGTTGTAGCGCGCTGTAGCGCAAAGAGGTGGCAGGGTCAAGGGAGCTGAGCAGAGGGGGGGATGGGGGGGAGGCAGGAGTGGGGGGGGAGGTGCAGGCGGGAGGGCGAATCACAACAAAAAACGAAGATCAATCTTCGGAGGTCCGCGCGGATTCTTGGGTCGGCGCTGTGTCCCCCCTGGCGACCCTTCGGGCGCCGCCAGGGGCGCGCTCCTCGCGCTGGGGGTGGGGGAGGGGGGGGGGCACAGCGCCGACGCAAGAAAATCCGCGCGGACTCCGGAAGTTTACGCTTACGCCGCTTTCTGCCCCTATAGTTTGGGATCGCTCGGCTTGTGAAGTAGGAGCTGGAGGAACAAGGGGAGCGTCGAGCCTCGTCGTCCTCGCTGTCTTGCTCCTGCTCTTCTCCTTCTCCCCCTACGCTGCTCTGTCAGTCGCAGTGCAGCTCCCCCCATGTCTTGAGAGCAAAAAGAGGGAGGGGGGAGCTCCCCGAGGATTTGCCTCCTTCCGCTTCCAGTACTGCCGTGTTCCCCAGCGGACCTCCCAGCCTTCCGTGTAGCGACGGCGTCGGGATCGCCGTCCTCCTGCCTGCTGCGCTGCGCTCACTTTTAAAACGCCCGTCTGCAACGACCAGTCGGCGCATCCCGGCGCCCCGTCGCGAGAGGGGGTCGGGGTGGCGGCATCCCCCCACCATCCCCCACCTGCTTCTCCTCTTCCTCATCCTCCTCCTCCTCTTCCTCCGCCTCCTCCTCCTCCTCCTCCGTCGCCATCCTTGTTGAAGATGATGTCTTCCACATGGAACCAAGTGGAGACCTCTGTTCCGAGGCAGGCAAGGCTGTTCAGCCTGGCGTTCATTGTCGGCCTTCCCTGTGGGAACTGGACCCCGCACCAACTTCTGTTGCTTGCCAGCTACAGGCCACACGCTCATACATTACAGCATGCGCTTCTAGATTCCAAGTTCCAGTTCCCGATTGCCAGAGTGGTCTCAGGTGGCGCAACGCTCACGGTGGTAGGCAGTAGGTCCAACATCGTGGCAATGAATTTGGCATGTCCGACAGCGATGATGTCGGCAGCCGCAGTGACAATCAGAGGAGGCGAGCACGCCGAGAAGCCGATTGATCTACCGCTGGAAGAGTTCGTCGGGATGAAGTATTGTATCTAGACCGCCGCGAAGATGGTGGACGCAGATGTGACACAGCTTCCAGATGTGACAGGGACAAACCTGGTGCACGCGAGGCACGGAGAGATGATGATGATCTGTTTGCTGTGCTGCGCTCGCGGGTATGACGATGTGTCGACCTTCCCTGATGATGAAATTCGCAGGCGCCCCAACGCTGCTGCACAGGGAGGCAACATTATGCATGACCCTGCTGGTCCTGGTGCTGGCTGCTGTCAGATGGAGGGAGTCACTAGTGCAGGCGATCCTGGCACACCTGTAGCTGGTCCCCCCATTCCTCGTGCTGATGAAGACCCTTTACAAGCAGATGGCCCCTGGGCTCACAACCCCGAGATAGCGGTTATGGAGACACGGTTTCGCGAATCCTTGGGTGATTTTTTCTAAAGCATTCCGGCGGCTATCAGTCAAGCGGTTGACACAGCTGCGGCTGCACAGTTTGACAAAGGTCCTACAGATTTTCGCAGACAGTTCAACACAGAGCAGGCTCATACTCCTCAGGGGATTGACAAACACACCCGTGAGCTTCATGACACTCGGCAAAGGCAAGATCGCGTTGAACAGGATACTACAAAGATGTGGAGCAGCACTCATGAGATGCAATCGGCGCTGGCACACACAGAAGCGCAGACCCCGTTCAGCATGTCCGACCTTGCCAATTGTTGGGGGCCGTAGGTTCGACCCACACATGTTTTCATGGAGTTGGTTGAGCCGTGTGCTCCTGCTGTTGTGCACCGGCCTCTCGCAGGTTGGCTTCAAGACGCATAGATAATTCCAGCTTAGATCGAGCTCATCGGAGACGCCGCCGCGCGCAAATTGTCATTGCAAGTCCTCGGGAGCAAGGTCGAGGCATCCACCAGCGTTATTCAACTGATTCGGTATCTTCGCGCTCCATCTGGATGGCGCGAACCCGAACGTGTGCCCACAGAGAGAGCACAGCGCAACATGGTCGCGTCGACCGACGAGATTGCAAGAATGCCCATAGGAGAAGACCAGGCGAAGAAACTACATCGAATCCTGGCCGCGAAGCACCAGCAGCACACGCGGCGCAGGCGACGTGCTCAGCTCAGTACTGGGTATCGTGCGACTCGGCGCCATGCTGCGAGGTCATCGCTGGTGCCCAAGACGAACCATTCAAAGTCAAATGGGATCTTGACCTTGTCGAGCGCACCGGCAGTCCGAAGCATGAGCTCCAGGCGCCTTTCCACGCCACGTTCGACCAGGCTCAGGCGCGGCGGCACCCCCGGCACCTGCCGGGTCCCGCAGGAGCCCGAGGATCGCGACGCGAGCGCGGGCCGTCGTCGCGTCACTTGCTGGAATGCCCGCAGCTCTCTTTGCTCAGGAGGGAAAAAAACACACAGACACAATTAATCGTCGACCCCCAGGAAAATATGGGAAAATATAGGAAGTGGGGGGGAAGACAGAAACCCAGAAAATATGGGAAAATATGGAGAATCATTTTATTTGTGTGTATTTATTTGTGTGTCCTGGGGCACCTTCATTTGCCACAGTTGCAAACAACGGTCAACCAAGCTGCGTCCTCCGAGCGAGCAGTTGCGCCATCCGCCGCCTCGGCGCCGCCCGTCGCCTGGGCCTGCGCGCCGCTCTGGCCGCCACGTCGCCGCCATGTCGCCGCCTCGTCGCCGCCTCGTCGCCGCCCGTCGCCGCCCGCTTCGCATGGCTTCTCATTGCTTTGCATTGCCCTGCTTGGCTTAGCATTGGCTTGCATTGCCTTGCATTGTGCTTGATTTAGTTGCACTGAGTTGCGTTGTGTTGCATCTGTTGCGCTGCTCTGGACTGAATGTCGTTGCTTTGCATTGCCTTGCCTGTTTCTGGTTTATATAGATTGCAGTGCGTTGGGTTGCTGTTTTCTTTGCACTGAGTTTCATTGCGTTGCATTGGTTTGCATTGCGTCCGTTTGCATTGCTTTGTGTTTTGTGCGTTGCGGTGCGAGTTGCGTTGCGTTGCGTTGTAGAGCTTTGTTGTTTTTGATTGCTGCGCATCGGCGTGCATTTCTTTGCATCTCATTGCACGGGTTTGCGTTGCGTTGGTTGCACTGAGTTGCATTGTTTTGCGCTGCTGTGCATTGGATTGCATTGCATTGCATCGCATTGCATGTCTTTGCATGGCTTTGCATTCCTTATCATTCCTTGGCAGTACGTGGTGTTGCTTTCAATTGCTGTGCATGACATTGCATTGTTTTGCATTGGCCTGCATTGCGTTACATCGCTTTGCGTTGCGTTGCGTTGCATTGCATTGATTTGCAGTGATTCGCATTGCGTCGCAATCGCTGTGCAACGATTTGGTTTGGTTTACGATAGTGTGCGTTGCGGCGCGTTTCTGTGCAGTACGCTGCATTGGTTTGCGTTGCTTTGCACCGCGCATGCAGGTTGCACCGTATGGATTGCACCACCTAGACTACGTACACCACCTAGTTTGCATCGCATGGACTGCGTGAAATCACGGTTTGGGGGCTCCACGCCGGCTAGCATATGCGAAATCTACATGTTGGCGTTTGGCATGGACACTGCGTCGCCACGTTCGCAAGACGCGTCGCCGAAGCGGGACGGGCCCCACACCTTGCGCGAGAGGCCAGAATGTCGCTCTCGCCTCGGCGCCGCGCCCGTCTTTCCCAGAGAGTCGAGCTCTCGCGGAGGCGCGGCGCGCGCAGGCTTCGCGGCGCCACCTCGTCGACGCGCGAGCAGGAAGAGAGTGTCGCCCTCGCACTGGCGCCGCGCAGGGTTTCGCCCGAGAGTGGCGCTCGCGCCTCCTCCCTCCTCCTCCTCCTCCTCCTCCTCCTCCTCCTCCTCCTCTCCTCCTCCTCCTCTCCTCCTCCTCCTCCTCCTCCTCCTCCTCCTCCTCCTCCTCTCCTCCTCCTCCTCCTCCTCCTCCTCCTCCTCCTCCTCTCTCCTCCTCCTCCTCCTCCTCCTCCTCCTCCTCCTCCTCCTCCTCCTCCTCCTCCTCCTCCTCCTCCTCCTCCTCCTCCTCCTCCTCCTCCTCCTCCTCCTCCTCCTCTCTCCTCCTCCTCCTCCTCTGTCGTCCTCCTCCTCCTCCTCCTTGTCCTCCACCTCTCCTCCTCCTCCTCCTCCTCTCTCCTCCTCATCATCAGCATCATCATCATCATCATCATCATCATCATCATCA